TACAAAAAAATATTGGATGTTCTTTGCACGGCATGTCAGACACCAGATGGTCTGCTCGTATCGATTCTGTTAAGCCTTTTGCTCATCACCTCCCAGGGTTAATTAAAGCTGTTGAAGAAATTCTGACGACAAACCTTACTCCTGAAATGCGTGGCGAGGCGTACGGTATTCAAGAGTACCTGAACAGTTTTCGGTGCGTTGCGGTTGACTATCGAAATAAGGTTCTTCAAGCCAGAGACGCTACTCTCTAGAGGTGGAACTTGATAATATTGATAGTTTGGTAGCCGATCTCAAAGATTTGAGAACAAAATGGGACCAAGTTATCTGTGAGGTCAAACTGGTTAGTGAAAACATAGGGTTATACCTCCCATTTTCCCTCAAAAACGGCGGAGAGTTCGAAAGCGATTACCTGGTGAAAGTTCTGAAAATGTTACTTTTCAAAACGCAGAGGAAAGCTTCAAAATTGAGACTTTTTATGTACTTATTGATACGTTGCTTGGAAATTTATATAAGCGATATGAAACATTACGAATTATAACTAATCTGTTTAGTATTTTATGGGAATATCCTACAAATGATTTAGATTTTTCTATTGAAAATCTTAAGCAACGGGCAGCGTGTTTAGTACAAAAATACAACACTGATTTAAACACCGAACTTTCTGAAGAGCTTTTGCATCTGCGATCAATCCACTACTCTAATTTGTTTTCAAATAAAGAAAATATCAAGCACATTGACTTATTGGATAAAATATCAGAACTAAAACTTGAAATGCTCTTTCCTAATGTCATAATTGCTCTTAGGATTTTTTGCACCATTCCAGTGACAGTTGCACAAGCAGAACGGTCATTTAGTAAGTTAGCCCGAATAAAAAATGTTCTTAGATCCACTATGTACCAACAACGGTTAACAAGTCTAGGTACTCTAGCATTAGAATCTTCTTTAGCTCGAAAAAGTAATTTTGATCAAATCATAGAAAACTTTGCCAATATAAAGGCTCGAAAAGCTGCTTTAAGTATGTAATGTAGATCAGTGGCGTAGCCAGGATTTTGTCTTGGGGGGGGCAAATTTGCAGGAAGTGTTTCCTGCGGCCCCGCCGCGACAGCTGCTAGAGGCAAAGCGCCGCAGGCGCGAAATTTTTGGGTGCCACGTCCCTTTTTTAGGTTTCTTTACGCTATTTTTGGGACTGTTTATTTCAATTTTGAAGAATTATTCATAAAATTTAAGGGTCTTGGGGGGGGCAAATGCCCCCTTGCCCCCCGCCTGGCTACGCCAGTGATGTAGATGTATAATTATTCGAAAGAGACCAAAGATTGTTCAATAATTTTCAGGATTTATTATTTTTGTTTCGCTTTACTGTGATGGTGCAGAAAAAGTATTTGTTATTTAAAATTTTTGTTCGTTTGTTACTCATTTTAGTTGTTCTGTTCTTAATATTTAGAGGTCAAGATTGTTAAGTTATTAGTTATTTATAGTCATGTTTTTTTTTTCAAATAAACATACCTAGAAAAATCGAAGCGTGCCTTTTTAACGACTTTTGGGTAAAAATTTGGGTGTGACAGTTTTGACTTCCAAAAATTTTTGGGGCCTTCCTTTCATGGGGCCCGTCGAAATGGTTGTACTGGGGCCCGCGCGTGCTTCGCACGGCCAAGAAGTTATAGAGGATTATAAAAATAAGCTGATTTTGAAAAACACCCTGTACCTCGCAAACCAATCCAGTTGGCTAAGATTTGACTACACCATCAAATGACACACTTAAAAAAAAGAGGACGGGAAGCGTTTATCAGTTCCTCAGTATCTTCGGCCCTTTTGGCTGTCCCGTACCCTATAAAACCATCGAAAATCAACTACCCTGTACAGTTTGGTCAGAAAATAGATATACAGGGTTTTTGGGTAAAAGTAGAAAAAAAATGACACGTCACTATTTTTTAAATCTTTTGATATCTTTTCCGGATTAAGCAAGTCATATTACAGTCAAAAGATACCTTTTGTTATCAAAAACAAACCTGCCAAATTTGAAAAAAAAAATTGGAAAAGAAATTTTTGAGCTAAAAAAAACGATGTTTTCTAAAACTTTGACACCCAGTATTTCAGAAACTACGTATTTCCGGACACATATTTATGGGAACTTTTTTTCCTGAAGTTACGAACCGTACTAGGAAACACCCTGTATATTTTTCCATTTTTTGACCACCCTGTACGTACAGGGTCTCCCAAATTCGAGGGCCAATATGGGGATATCGGTAACCATTAAAGATTCGAGGGTGGTTAAATTAGACAAAAGTTGCGCATTTTGATGCTTAACAATATGACGTTTTTAAATTTGAGAAATTTCTAATACTTTCGGAAATATCCAGAAATTGCGATTCTGGTTTTCATTTTTCCCAGGCTTTATTTCAAGAGATCGAGAAAAAGGAAGATAACTTTCTTGGAGCACTTTTGGGTGGACTTTACTGTGGTAATGTCATTTTAGAAATTCGACGTTTCGGTTTTCAAACGCCATCTTCAACCTAATTTTTAGTAATATGGACTTGGATATTTTTTTACATAATTTGGTCGATTTTGACATTCTTAGATACGACATATATAACACTTTTTGAAATTCCGACGTTTCGACCGAAAATATCCATTCTCAGACAAAATTATTACTATTATTTTTGAATACGATTTCGAGTTTCAATTCGCATGCCAATTTAGTTAAAAGGCGTGATATAACCTAATTTCTTGATTTCTGGCAGAGTTTCCGTTAAATTAATATATTTTTGGGAAGTTAGTTTGCCATCAATGAAGAAAGGTCCCATAATTTTATTATGTAGCATCCTTATTATCCACACATCAAAAGATTCTTTACCATGAGGGCCCATACTTGTTGGTTTTGTCTTGGACTTTGAAGTGAGCAAAAATGGTGGGTATGTCCTATGTCGATTAAACTAAAAAAGGAAGAAATAAAACTCGGGGCGCGTGAAACATACATGATACGTGATCAAGTTAGTCCGACTATTTCGCTAGGCAGTGGTTCCCAACCTTTTTTTAGTCACGACCCTTTTACAGATTTGTTCATAAGGTCGCGACCCCCTACCCATTAATAAATAAGAAACAAAATTTCATTTATTCGAGAAATCTAAATACAAAAATTGAATTTTTATTTTGTTAATGTGATGACTGAGCTTGCATCCTCGTAACAAGTCTCGAAATTCTTGGTTGAGTTTTTGTTAAAGCCAATCTTATCATCTTGAACACCCAGTCTATTTCTGGCCTTTGTTCTAATTCACAAAAGGGTTGAAAACCCCACTTTCACGAAGGTAGGTAGAGGCAAATGGTATTAGTATCCGAAAAGAAAGCTCAAGGAGGTCATGGCACATTAAAATTAAGTCAAGAATTTCTACTGAAATAGGGCCGGTGCTGTGGGATCATTTCTCAGCTCTAAAAATTGATCCTGTACTTCATCAGGAACGTCGGCAACATCTAACGAGGCTAAGGTTATTCCTTACTACTGCAGCGCCCAAGCAACGCCACGCGGCTTTTGAGGCGAAGGCCAAGGCGTGTTGCCAAATGCAGAAAAATATACACGTTGGTCCATTTAACTTGCGATAATCTATCTCGAAAACGACGCGTTTTTGAAAAAAAAACAAATAGAAGCTATAGTGTCACGGGGAAAAGAAAATGATAGCAATGATTTTTGACTCTTTCAACTTTTATTTGAACTCTTTTTTTTAAACGCGCCGTTTTCGACATATTAGACTGTCTCAGGCTAAATGGACCACCCTGTATATTAATATTGGCATTGCGACACCTCCAAAAACCCTATGCGACCCCCTTAGGGGTCGCGACCCACCGGTTGGGAACCGCTGCGCTAGAGGGACGTCTTTTTGAATAGGTACGTTCCTTAAATATCTACTAGTCTCTATCCCATCAGATATTATAAATTATTGATTTGTTTTCGCTTGTTTGTTATTTGTTGAGATTTTTCTCATTTGATACAAAAAATTAGATTTTATCACGTATTTTAACTAAAATTTGCATGCGGATTAAAACTAGGAATCATATTCAAAAAGTATAGTAATCATTTTGCCTGAGGATGAATATTTTCGGTCGGAACGTCGGAATTTAAAAACGTGTTGTTTATGACGTATTTCAAAATGTCAAAACAGAACAAATTATGTAAAAAAAAATTCAGGTCCGTATTACAAAAAATTAGGTTGATGATGGCACTGGAAAGCCGAAACGTCATATTTCTAAAACAATATCACCACAGTAAAGTTCATTCAAAAGTGCTTCAAGAAAGTCATGTTGATTTTTCTCGATCTCTCAAAATAAAGCCTGGAAAAAATAAAAACCAGAATCGCAATTTTCGGAATTTATCGGATATTTCCGGAAGTATTAGGAATTTCTTAAATTTTAAAACGTCATAATGTTACGCATCAAAATGCGCAACTTTTGTCTAATTTAACCACCCTCGTATCTCTAATGGTTACCGATATCCCCATGTTGGCCCTTGAATTTGGGACACCCTGTACATGCTATTTCAAGTTTTAGTAGTTTAATATTACTTTTTCAAGAAGCAGAACTTTTTATGTTTTTCAGTAAAAATTTCAGCTCTCTATCTGAAATTCCGCTCCAGCCTATTACATATCCGCACATATTACAAATCCAAGAGACACCCGGGATATTCCGCAGAACTCTGCAATCAATGAATAATCACGCAGCGTGGAAGACACTTTGAACATCGCAATTTTTGGTATTTTTTTCTTGGAGCCCAAACGGCAAATTTCCGGATAGGTGTTCATGGAGCAAAATTACTTATTTTGAGACCCTCTACTAACAATACAACCCCTCTCAGTTTGTCACAATAATTATGTAAAACCCTGTAAAAGTTCAGTTTGTCACAATAACTATGTAACACCCTGTAAAAGTTGAGTTTTTGTTTTCTTATTTTGCTTGTTTTTCCCCAAAGCAAATGGGAAACTTTGAAGAATAATTAGATCAAACAAACACAAATAGAAGATTTCGGAACAAATTTAATAATTAGGTACATTGTTTTTATGCTGCGTTGCAAAATATACATGTTCATTATGTTTATATATGTGTACAAGAGACACAAGATTTCAGGATAAGAGCCGATTTACGAAATTATCACTTGTAAGTAAAACATTTAACCGAACATTCTCTGGTCTCAAATGAACACGTTCCTTCCTTTACAATACTATCAATGGCAACCAACAGGTCTTGTCCAAGCATTCTCTAATTACCATTTTACAAATTATTCATTTATTTGCAAGTTCATTTGTAACATGAAAATATAACAATATATCATGCCAATTTTTCCTCTTTCTTTTTTCCAGCTTTTCCAAATACCACAATCAACGGTTTCTCTTTTAGAATAAATCCGTTTGTTTCTTTCACAGCTTTTTCAGCAAGTTCGATGCTGTCCAATGTGACGAAAGCTTGGCCCTTCATTCTGCCTTGTTGCATCAATCTTATGTTGAATTCAGTTGGATTTTCAGCTGTGCGTTTTTCCCGGTACCTGAACAATGGATAATGATTAATATTCATAAAAAAGTAGAATAAACTAGCAATATTGCAAAGGTGATTAAAAGTCATACCTGTTATAAATATACTCCAAATCTTGATCAACAACAGTTTTGGAACAATTTTTGATATAAAGCTTATTTGTAGGTTCGCCAGGTTTATAATTCTTAAAAGCTGCTACAGAACTTATATCAGTTATCTGATTGGCCGCTAATTCCTCTAATGTTATACACGGAAGATCCTCAGACAAAATCTGATCGGCAGAAGTGTCAACTTCATGGCTCAAAATTCCCATCTGCAAGAAAATTAGTATTTTTATTTTATTCACAATAACTATGTACCCACTAAGTAATCCCCAATAGCTAATTATACTTATTTACAAAAATATACAGGGTGAATCTGAAAGTGAGGGTTTTTTTTTAACAGGGTATATATCTCGCCAAAATAAGTTGTTTGGCAAAAAATTGTTTATATAAAAAATTTAATATAACGGAGTTACAGGTATTTTAGGGTTATGTGCATTAAAAATCTAATTTCAATAATCTAAGATTTAGTAGAGAAAATATGATAAAAATTATCGGGGATAATACCACGAGAGCTTCAAAATTACCGATAATTTTTCACTATTGCGTGTTTTCTATAATTTGCAAAGAAAACACGCATGAGTGAAAAATTATCTGGTCCATTTTAAAGCTCGAGTGGTATTTCGAGGATTATTTCACGAAAAAAAAATGGAAAAAATAAGGAAAAAATATGGTTGCTAACAGGATCCGTTTGTTTGTATTGGTACAAATGGATGGCTGGTAACAACTGTTTGTTTGTATCAAAAATTAGTATGACAATCATGTATACAATAACATGGGAGAATTATCGCTGTAATTCTCTCTAGTTAAACTAATGGAAAAAAGAATTTTCGCTGTCATTTTGAAAATCGTCACTTGTCTTATGGGATTTCTAACACATGAGTGGAATAATCACAAAAATTGTTCAAAATTATTCCCATTTGTCTGATGCTTCATTTCCCTCCTAAATTTTGTCTGTTTCATTTTAAAACGAAATTTTTTTTCTGATGGAATAATGCAACTGTGAGTACCTATTATGGAATAAGACTCATTATGCTGGACTAATAATAGCTTTTTGCGGCTTGTTTTTTGAGAAAATGTAAACAAAGTGATTTATAGTGGAAGACTCCTCTAACCTCAAAATAGCTGTACCTCCGTTATCTTAAATTTTTTATATAAACAATTTTCTGCCAAACAACTTATTTTGGTGAGATATACATCCTGTTAAAAAAAAAGCCCCACTCTCGGATTCACCCTGTATATTAACACAATATTACCTGGTGTACTTGTACTAGAGAATCCTGAGATACTTGTTGGTGCCCCACCACTGCTTCCGCATTACTTTGACTTTGACTTTCAACTTCTTTGGGAGCTAATATATTTTTTTCTTGTTGTACGTCTATCAAATCTTTATTTTGTCCTGCATGAAGTGAAGGTTTAGGTTCCTGATTAATTACATTAGTAGATTCGTTTTCAGTAGATTGCACTTTGGAGTTTGGAGCAACCGGATGAATAGTCTGACTTTGTATGGAGTTTTTATCTACAGTAACTAGTTTTGGTGGAGCTTCCGTAGCCTTGATATTATCTGAAATACCAGACTTTTTATGTTCAGTTTCACATTGTTGTTTCTTGAGTTCTGGCATAGCATTTTCTTGGTTTTCAACTGTTGAATCTGTCACATTTTTAATTACACCTGTTTCTTGTTTTTCGGTTGGTAGAATATTGAGTTCGATTTTTCTCTGTGGTTGGATATTTGGAACCTATAATTATTGGGAAAATATTAGTTTTGATTGAAAATGAAAAATGCATTTATTTTTCATTTATAAACAAAATGTATACCGGGTGACAACGAAATCGTTATACAAGGCGTCATTCAGTTGTCTTAAAATTTAAAAATTTGAAAATCGGGTGTAACGGGTAAGTCAATGAGACGCACACTTTTCATAAAAAAACAATTGAATATCACTTCCGGTTACTTTGGAAATGGACCCAAGTCAAGAAATTTTATAGAACCCTGTATATTTTTTTACACAGTTGGATAGAGCTTAAAATTCTCTTTCCAATGACATATGATAAGTGGAATTTGTTTTTAAGATGGCGGCGTGAGAAGCCACTTTTTTAAATTCAATATGGCGGCATTCTGATCTAACCTTTGAATACCTAACCGAAAAATGAATATGCATTTTGGTAGACATTTTCCGGTAGTCCATTGGACACACTTTAATTCTAGAATTTAATAATATATAGGGTTCCATAAAAATTTCTTGACTTAGGTCCATTTCCGGAGTAACCGGAAGTGATATTCAATTGTTTTTTTACGAAAAATGTGCGTCTCAATGACTTACTCGTTCCACCCAATTTTCAAATTTTTAACTTTAAAGACAACTGAATGACGCCTTGTATAACGATTTCGTTGTCACCCGGTATGTTATAATGGTATTCCATATTACATTCTTATAAAAAGACATATAAATCTAGAATGCACAACTTGGAAAAAGCCAGTATCATTAACATTAGATACTGTAAATGAGTACTAGTGGGTAAACTTTTACTTGTTAAATCGCAAACTTGTATAACGGTTTATAAACCACCTTTAATATCATACAATTTTTTATCCAAAATTCCCCGTCCTGCTTTCAACCCACCAGCCACCAGAGCCACTACCTAGAAAATCTTAAATGGGAATAGCATTGGTAAGTTTTAAAAAGAACACCCTGTATATTGCATGAGTTGCTATTGTCCGTCGATTTTAATCTGACACTTTCTGTATGAGGAGCGAGGGGGTGAAGTATATGACAAAAACAGGTGTGACGTCAGGTGATCATTGGCGTTCTAACGTAGGGTCAAATGACGAATTTATGAGATTTGTGAAGAGAAACAGGTTCGTGACAACAAATCTACTAGCTGTACTACCAGGGACTACTTGTGTGTGTTCTAGAATACTCGCTCAAATTAGTTTCAAAATCGGTAGAGGATTGAGTGCAGTGCCATCTTTAGGCGTGGGCCAGCTGGGCCCTGGCCCAGGGGGCCCCGTCGTTAATTTTTATAAAAAAGTATTCAAATAATAAATGATAATATCAATAAAATCAAATGAAATATTATTCAAATAATAAATTATTTGAATATAAACTAGGTGCTGTCCGACCATCTATCATTTAGGTATTTGAGGAACCTAATTGCTGTACTGAGCCAATAAATATTTAGAATTATTTTGTTTCGTAAATGTCTTTTTAAGATATGACTTGTGACTTGTTTCTTGTGATACGATATACCTATTAAATATTAGGTCTATTTCTGCAGAAATCACAAACCAGTCAGAGTCAATTTCATTGGTTGAAACTAGTTTTCTGACTGTTTTCAACCAATGAAATTCGCTCTGAGTGTGATTCCTGCAGAAACAGACCTATTATTATTTAGTTAGGCGAAGGTTACTTATTTGTTTGTATATGTTCCTAAAAATATGTGTTTCATTTTGTTAATATTGATATATACAGGGTGTCCACTTAGTGCGATATCGGACGATATCTCCTTACAGGGTGATGCCAGAAAAAAATTAAATTACAAAGTTGTTTGATACTCTAATATGCATTAGTTAAAAATATTTTTGAATATACAGGGTGCTCCGTTCATGGGGTATGCGACAGAACTTTATTATTTTAAATGAAACACCCTGTATGTGATTGCATATTTGGATTCTACGTAAAATTCTGACCAGGGGGTCAATTTTTGACAATATACGTTAAATTGCGTATTCGAAGATTTGCGAACAAAAGTAAACGTATACGTATCTATAAACCCATTTTTGACCGGTGTGCGTAAATGGATAAACGTAAATTGCGAATTCGTAAACATACGTATGGTTGATTTGACAACGTCGGCAATTTTAGAATGTTTGACAAATTTTTGACGTGTTTTTGTCTTTTTGAATTAATTTTGAAGGATTGTGGATGTTTACGATAGTGGTAAATCATGGAAGAAAGCAGTGACAAAAACTTGAAGAAAAGGAATGCAAATGCCAGTGAGAAGCAAAAGAAACCTGTGAAGTATGTGATAAGCAAGCTACAGCTAATCCGGTTGATAGCTACGCCTTGCGAAAAATTTCAACGCATAATCAAGACCCATGAGTAGTACCGCATTGTACCGAACTCTATAACAAACATTGCAAAACAACCTTCTAAATAAAATTAATTTCCTACTTTAGAAAATACATCTAAATCTGTTGGTCGTTGTGCCAGACGTGTATGAGGTTCTAAACATTCAACCAAATATCTAACAAGCTCTTTCGGCAATCAGAACATATTAATAGGGTGTTTATTTGTAATTCGTACTGCTTTTCCTGCTTCAAGCAGATCTTAATGGCAAATCAACGTTCATTTGTCTCATATAAGCTCATAAATAGCAGCTCATAGCAGATCTTCCTGATTTTTCGAGCAGGTAGAACAAGTACAAATGAACACCCTTTAATAAACTGTCTTTGAGTCGGTTTCTCAATAGCAAGTCACCCCCGGGTTAAGCATTACTCCAGGGTAAACATTGCAACTGAACACGTTTAACCTGGAGTTAAAACCAACCCGGAGGTAACTCGCAATTGAGAAACAGGACCTTTGGTTTAGCTCTAGGAATGGATCACAGTGGTTATGTCGATTTCGTATCTCTGCGTTTTCCAAATTACGAATTGCCAGCACATTCGTCAAGTTTTCCGTATTATAGTAGATACACCTTGTAATCAAGAAGATGAGACGATAGTGACTGTACTGCTCTTTCGCCAATACGCAGAGCCAGATTAGGCCAATCGTACCCATCACTAGAAGAGATCAGAGGCACCGCCTTCGGCGACGTCATCGCCTACGTAGAATCGCTAGGCTGGATGACGAACTAATGATGACCTCTCCTCTTGTGGAGGCGTACAATGGGCATAATTGTGACCTAAGGGCGGGTATTATAAAACTACTAAAAAGAGTTAACTTAAAGTTAACTTCTGGAATTACATGTAATTCAAAAAGTTAACTTCAAGTTAACTGTCAAAGCAGTTTTATAATACCCACCCTAAGTGTTGTAGCATACCTGAAATACCACCCTCCCAGATACAGAGATAGTAGATACACAATAATCCAATAATAAAATCGCTATCAAAAATCTTACAAACAAAAACAACCTAACATCCCCACTTGACACAAGAAAAACGAATACGCAAACCGAATAAGGCGACTAGAATACCGCTCGCAGAAAAGCGAATGAAAATATGCGCATACGAAACTTTGCGAACGGCCAAAAATTAGAACTTGTGGCTGTTCGCAGATTTAGGAACAATCTACATACGTTTCTATGTTTGCGAAGGGTCAAAAATTGACCACCAGATTTCATGTAATATACTCTACACCTATAGGTTCAACTGTTTTGGAAATATTGACAGTTAAAAATTGACTTTTTGCAACTTTGACAGGCTGTAAAACCTAAACGGTTAATTTTAGACGAAAACCGATTTTACATTCCTGTCTTAGATGTTCATAAACCATCATTTAACACCAACTTTGAATTAAATACATGATTAAAAATTTCAGTTAAAGGACCCCGCACATTTCTTATGGAAAAGTGATCTATGTGGAATTTTGCTGAATTTTTGATATTGTGTATAGGGAGTCGTCCTTAACAAAAGTGATCATTGCGCTAATGTTCAATACTCAACAGTTTTCAAGATATCAATTAAAAACTTTTTTAAAAATACTCTTCAGTATGACGTCACTCACAGCAACGAAAATTATTACTATCTTTTCCATTTTTGACTTTGACTTTACTCTTCTCCTTTTAACATTAAGAAAAAAAAAAGATAGCGATAGCGATTAGTGACAAATAGGTAGGTATGCAAACAACACCTAGCTCCTGCCGCAATCGTCAACTTCATGTCATGATGTCTGTCATATAGCGATTTCATTTGTACCTGTTGTTGTTTTTTTTTTTATTTCCTAAATGTTAAAAGGAGAAGAGTATAAGTATAGGTAGTCAAAGTCAAAAGTGGAAAGGATAGTTTAAATTTTCAGTGCTGTGAGCATACTGGTGACGTCATACTGAAGAGTATCAAATTAAAAAAGTTTTTAATTTATATCTTGAAAACTGTTGGGTATTGTACATTAGCGCAATGATCACTTTTGTTAAGGACGACTCCCTATACACAATATCAAAAATTCAGCAAAATTCCACATAGATCACTTTTCCATAAGAAATGTGCGGGGTCCTTTAATCTCCGGTTAAATTCAAAGTTGGTGTCAAATGATAGTTTAGGCCCAAGCCTACTTTCAGGACGGAGCGAGATCCGACTTTGGCGCCCCTTGCCCCTTAATTCAAATGTGAATTGTAGGTACTCGCATGGATTTTGCCCATATCTGAAATTTATAATTATATGTCTCTATGTCTCTGACTGTATTTATCTAATCAACTGAAATTTGAAAACATCCATGTTCGTTGGTATACTGTTGGTACCTAGTCTTTTCCTTTTGAGAATGGATTTAAAGTAAAATGACAAACAAATTACTAATGAAAGTTGTGAAAAAATGTGTTTATTTATTTATTATAATGCACATTCTTTGATGAGATCAATCAATAATTAACTTTGATCATAATTATTAACACTTATTATAAATGTAAAAAAATAAATAATTTAATTAAATCGCTGTTTGCGCACTTTTGTATTTGCAAATTTGTATGATCTCCTCACCATGACAATGTCTGGAGCTATAGGTATCATTTTCAATGAACAGCAGCG